GTATCCTTTACGGTTTTTTTTTAATTTCGGACCAACTTCCTTTTTTCCGCTTTTAATCTTTATCTTTGTCTCACTTTAATACTAAAAAGAAAAAGAGACCAAAGATGTAGTTCTAATGTTCACCACCCGACACGTTTTGGCGGGATCGGGAAGCGTCACTTTAGCAGTTTTGTTTTTCTTGTTAAAAATTATGTTGTGGCGGATGTTAGTGTCTAATAATGGTGGATTATTAACCACTAAGTGTTCGGGAACATGCACAAGTGTTGGCAAGTGAAACAAAATAGCGGAAAGTGTCTTTCGACGTTCCCTAAAGAAGTCCACGGGGAGGTTCCAGTAAATCCCCCCCACACTTATACTGAAACATAGGGAAAGGGGAATTGATTTGACTGCCACTTACTTTGACTTGATTTATTACTTTGCCCACGAGTGCTATAGTATTTGTAAACATTTTCACACTTGACATTGGCTAAATGCACAAACCGTGTGAAACCATTTAGAAAAAAAAAAATTTCACCACCGGCACGGGGCGGGGTGCCATTTGGAATTGCGCACCATTTTCTTATTAGAAAATGCTATATCACTTAAGTTAGGTGTAGGTACCGTTTTCTCGGAAATGTGTTGAAAAACGTTGTATGGCATTCGTGCAGAATTGGTATTTACAAACTAGTGACTATGGTTAGGTTAGTTTAAGTTACCCTCGACTTCTTCTCGGGCTTACATTCGTCTATTCATTTGTAATAACCAACTTACCGCACTAATATCATAAATAACTATTACAATTTCCATTTCATATCAGATGCATGTCAAGATCATTGGTAAAGATGAAAATCAACTCAGAATTATAACTCAGAAGCTTTGAGAACATAAATAAGCATTTCTCCTATCACTGAAGTTACCGCAAAACATTAGAAATTACATAAAAACCAGTCAGTTGTAAGTGCCTGTCTACATTTTGACATTTGAAAGAACAAAGCTGTAGTTAGCAAAGAACGAAATTCAGTGAACACGCTGAAAAATATAGAACGTAAATTGTGAACACAGTCTGCTCAAAGCACTTGTAAAGAGTCGCTCGGTTATTAGAAAAAATCTCGAGCATTTTGCTCGGGATCATCTCGAAACCGGAGCGTTTTAGGTGAATTTCTGTATTGTGTTTTCATATTTCGCACGCTTTAAGGAATATAGGTCAATACCTATTAGTACTTAGTTCAACGTTGAATAACGTACAATATTGAGGTGTTTGCACATTTTTTTGTTTACTAGGTATGTGTCTAATTTTAAAGTAAGGTGTCAATGACAGCGATATTTATGAAGCTATGTGAATAGAATAATATGGATGGCTTTAGGACAACTTATTCTCTGTATTTCTTAAGTACTAATAGGTATTCCTTTAAGCGTGTGATTTGTTTCTTAGGTTTTTGCGCACATTACTCATGAAATAAAACAAGTTTCAACAGGTTAGATGCACTGTTTTTTTATTTATTTATTGACGTTTCGCATTCTTTGCAGGAATGCGCCGTCGGAATAATGATTTTTTTATTTACTTTGTCGAGCTACCTCCGAAAGACTTTTATTGAGCGTTCGGATATTTCACTGGAAGATTTTTAAAACTTTATTGTCTATATGTATTAATTCATTAGCTAATTGAATTAATAAAGTACTTTTTTTTATTATTTTGAGTTTATTTATTTGACCCTAACTACCTTTGTGTTTTTATATTGTTTATTAGCTTTTTTACTCGTAACAACAATCTACCAAGAGAGATAGGTCTTAGCGAATTTGCCACTTCAATTAGAGCGTCCGTCTGGGGAAGTAACCTCCACCTTATAGAAGACGACAGTTTAATAACACTGCCTTTTGGAGGTGTTGTGTTTCTGTGGCTGAGTAAGGTTCCAGGGCTCCAAGGGGTAGGGGATTGTGTTAGGGTAGGTAACGGCGTCAGTGATATGTTTTTCTGACGTGACGACATCTTATAATTCGATGGAACTGCTGCACGCACGAAAAAACATGACTCATGCGGCATAACCTCGCTCTGAGGCGTTCCATTTAAGGATTTAAGTGCAAGCGAGAGTGCGCAACGAGCGACAAAGAGGCACAATCGGCCTCCGCGTTCGGTAGCGTTCGACATCTGTCTCTCTCCTACTTGAGTGAGATGCAATGCGATGGGTCCGCGTGGACAGCTGCTATACAATAGTACATTTACATGATTTCGTCAAGTATGAAGTGCAGTGAAAAGTGAATGTGGTGTCAATTGTTTATAGCAACAATAATTGCGGCGATAAAGGTAATGATATCACACACGTCTAAAAGTTGTAAAACAATTGCTCACAGTACATTTATACTTGTAAAAACTATGTACATTGTAAATACCTTCAACTATCGCCAGTAAACCAACTTTACAGACAACTGTTTTTTTTTATCAAACAAGGCTATGGTGGACGCTTATCATAAGGCGAGCCATATGCTTGTTTACCAACCTTTTATCATTAAAAAATGCACCTACACTTGCACGCAAGACAACATGTATATATCTGCTTTCAGTAAATTCAATAAAAAGAATCCTACTGCATTAGTTTTTTTTATTAAATTTAAATGAATAAATTCCAATTCAAACGAAGCGAAACAAAAATAATCACCAGGGGGCCATTCGCCTAACGGAAATGCTATGGAAAACGCTAACGCTTTCGATTTTATTTTGTTATTTCCGACCGCCGAAGATTTACAAATATCTCACGCTCATTTTCTTTAATATTGTTATTGCCAATGCCAAAAAAGAAAAAGAGCGCAAGGCATTTGAAAACCTCAGGCGGCTAGAAATAACAAAATAAAATCGAAAGCGTTAGCTCCAAAGCATTTCCGGTAGGCGAATTGCCCCCAGGTCTGCTTTCCCCTCGTTTACACCAAGGTACGTATATAAAATACATGTATTTAACGAATTTTATACAATGACTTAATTTTTTGTTCACACTTATATACAAGTGTAAAACATATAGTATACAATACGCATCAAATTTGTTGGATAAACATAATATGTGAAGTAAATAAGTGATTAATACTTGTAAAATACTAGGTGTCTGTACACACTGCAAACGAAAGAATGATTTAAACAGCGCCACTACCAGAGCTTCAGGCCCGGTTTCAAAAATACCGGTAAATAAAGGTTAATACCGATTTTTAGTAAAGGTTTCGTTCGGAGTGCGTCCGAAATGAAAGCGGTACCTAAAACCTTAATAAACCGGTTTTATCGAGAGCGACACGTGCACGCGTCGGCATCGCTTGACGTTTGTTTTGTTTGAACTAATCAAGTCACAACTTGTTAATGCTCAGAGATTGATTCATTTATTGACACGTTTGCTAGCGTCTAGTGAGCATATTAGTCATTTTGTAATAGTGTATTTATTTCAGCCGTCAGTAAGAGCGAAATGAAACCCTTTAAAAACCGCAAAACTTATTCAAAACCTATTTGATTTCGCTTTTTAGGAAAATCGTTTTTTTAAGGTTAAGGTAGAGCCAAACCTAAATAAAACGCTCCTAATGTACTTGACACTGATTTAGGTTTGAAAATTAATCGGTAAACAAGGCCTGGCCACTACAAGTATTCTATAAGTTTTATTAATCAGAATATAATAAGTGTATAGAACACATAGTAAACACCAGCACAATTCCTCCCAACTAATTTAGATTACGCCTTGATTCCGATCCCAAAATCGTTATCGGCCATTAGACAGACAATTGCTTAACCTAATTTTCAGAATTACCCTTCGATTGTGTTTGAGATCATTAATATCCAACCTAAAGGCAGAGCTAAAAAGGAATCGGAAATTCACCTTGCTTTCGGCGACGATGAGCATCTCCGTCGCTTTTTTTGTGTTTCCCATCAAAAAGAGGAGCGGTTTTATCACAATTCTTTGTCGTAAACAATGGTGCTAACTCGAAGATAAAAACTGAACATTTTAATTTTATGTCGTCGACAGCACTCGAGGTAAGTTCCGTTATCTATATTTGACGATGCGCTCACAATTTTGTTTTCGTTTTACGATGAAAACAATGGCCGTAAAGGAAGGTACAAGTCCTTAAAAGTGGCTTTGAAGCGATGAAGTTAATCAGCGATCGCCCGAACTTTGAACGCCCGTTTTGGAAATATTTAAATGACTTTCGGAAGCATAACGACTGGATTGGGCTCCGCGGCCATTAAAGATAATGGTCAGAGAAGTTTTACGTTGCTTTGATGATCAGATGTCAGTCTTATAGGACAGTAGAGAAATGAGTTGGAAAGGGCCCTGATCTCACGAGATAACTATCTTTTTATAAGATCACAGTTAGGTTCCTTTGTAAATTCAGGTGATATTATTTAACGATCGTCCGATTGTAGATCGTTCCAAAGTTCTGTCAAACTTTTCTGCCGTAATTTTCTTATTTTATCTGTTATTGTATTTTCAATTAAATATGCGCACTTGTAATTTTCTTGAGTAATAAATATTGTTTATTGAATAAGAGCTTGATTATCATTATAATTTATAATAATAATTATAATTAAGCGATTATCATTTTTTAAATACTGACAAGCGCGAGTCAAAGTCGCCCATCGAGGGTTCCGTACGAGGTACTCATCATAAACGGCTGTATCTTCTTTGACGTTAACTTAAAAATGCAAATTTTTAACAGCTTCAGGAAACTGTATACTTGAGTATATATGGTTTAAATTTCATGTCTATACTTTTACATGTTTCCGAGATAAAGGGTCTTGTCAGACACACAGATAAACGGCTGTAACTTTTTATTAAGTTTACTTATAAGTTTACAGCTTTAAGGGACCGTAAATTTGAGTATAATATGGTTTAAATTTCAACTCGATACCTCCACGCGTTCCCTAGATAAAAGGTCTTGCTAGAAGACAGACAGACAAACGGACAGACAACAAAGTTATTATATAAGTTCCTTTTATTTCTATTTCTATCTAAAATTATTGCAATGGAGAATTAAATGAAACATCGTCAACATACCAGTTCCATGAGCTTCGATGAACTCCAAACTGGAAGGTGGAATGGAGCACTCCTCGTAGAACTCGCTCAGGAGCAACTTCTGGATATGGCCAGCGGGGTACGTAATACCCTGCTCCTTGTACCCGTCGCAGTTGGTCTTGGCATGCAGCAGTTGCGCGTATACCCTGCAAGAAATGGTGAGCATCAAGATGACGAGATCAAGTCCCCAATTTAATTAAAACATTTCCAGTAAAATTTTCTTTAGATTTATATCAGCATCAAGCGGGTAAACCTTAATATGATATTGTAATTATTGGCTAGATCATCTGATCTGCGAAGCGCCCTTTCATAAGATGTTGTAGAGTGTATCTCTATCGATTGTATTGTAACTATTGTTACCAGGAAACAACTTGGCTTGTTAATACAGATAGAGTTGTTCTTGACGTCATCGCCATCCGTTTATGATTTTAATTCCAAATCGGAGTCGGTGCTGTAATACTTATGAAGTTGACTGATGTCTATTAATTAGTTCTCATACAGTTCCCATATTACCTGGAAACACTGAAGTCCACAACTGTTTGATTTCCAGAGATCTTTTATTCCACGGACCATACAATTATGGATATGCCCGTCCGCTCGTCTGCCTTCAAAGGCAATAAAGAAAGAGTTACCTCCTGGAGTCCTTGGCTTTCTGCAGGAAGCAAACCGCGACGGCTTCGGAGCGAGCGTAGCCGTTGGCGCTGGCGTCGAAACTTTTGCACTTTCCATCCGGAGACAACACGCCCAATCTGAGGGTAAAAGAGAAATTATTAATAACAATGACATCAAGCTATAAGATGTGGACATTTGTAATATTATGAGTGAATATGAAAATCCATCTTATCTTACCTGGAGAATTGCGGTGACACGTAAGAATGGAAGCAGAGGTTGGAACCTCCCACGATGGCTGCGTCGCAGTTTCCGTCACGAATGGCTCTAAACACATGTTCCAGCACTCATACATAGCCATCCCTTTGTGTTTAGTGAATTATTAACCGAAAGCGTCAGCTTTTAAACCTAAAACTTCTGTTTCGAGCCATCTCCTAGTGATACGCAAGGGTGGAGGGAGATACAGGTTGGAACTTCCACTAATAGCTAAACCACATGTATATTTCAATAAAAGCCATGCATTTTACCTGATGAATTGCAGTGACACTTAAGGATGGAGACACAGGTTGGAATCCCTTAGAATAGCTGCATCGCAGTGTCGTTCATGTATGGCTCTAACCGCTGTTTTCAACAATAGCCATCTCACCTGGAGAATTGCAGTGACACGTAAGGATGGAGGCACAGGTTGGAACCTCCCACGATGGCTGCGTCGCAGTGTCCGTCACGGATGGCTCTAAACGCATGTTCCAGCGCGTATAAAGAGCTCGAGCAAGCTGAGTCGACGGTGTAGGAGGGACCGGTGACACCCAGCCAGTAGGAGATGCGGTTCGCCAGCATAGCACGGGAGCAACTGGAAATTAGGCAGCGTCAGTAGGGAATCAACTCAGATCATCAAAAGGTACCTGTTTCTTTTTTTTTTTAACGCAGGTAAAAAATCTTTTTACAGACGACGGCGCCTTTAAGAGGCACACCGCCAAACGGACCTCACACCTGGCTCCCGCAAGTCTTACGGACCCCCCAGTGGCTACCCACCGAGGACCCCGCAACTCTTACGGGCGCTTTACAGCATAATATCCGCTAAAAAAGTCCTGCGAATACCTCTACACTGCTTAGTGCGGAGCCGCAGGGTCCCCGTTAGGGATTCTACCACGGCTCCGCCCCCAGCAGCTTCCCGGCCTCGCCGGGGCTTTGCTTTTATGGGTGCACTGTCTATGGAATTGAAATGCAATACAGCCAGAGAAGAGCTTCATGGCGCAAGTGGTTAGCGTCCCTTACCTTAGTGTCGCCGCACACGGGCCACACGCCACAGCCACAAACGCCGCCACGAGAAGCTAGAAGCAGCTAAGGTAAGGGAGAGAGTGGTGGGGAAATGCGCGAGTAACGTGTGGCGGCGTTTTGTATCGGCGCATTAAGTGGCCGGTGCGGGCCACAAGAAGCGAGCAACGATGATTTGTAGCTTGTGGCGGCCACCGGCGTACCGTGTGTGGCCAGTCCATATAAAATGTATGAAAACTACAAGAAATATGCCGGTGGCGGCGTTTTGTGGTTGTGGTCGGTGGCCCGTGTGCGGCGACACTTAGATTGCTTATGCTTGTAGTCGGTGCTTCCATATTTTAATGCTGTTGCTGATTTTGTTGCCTTTCTATTTACGCATGCTGTGGCTATCTTAATTGTAAATGCAATAATAATAAGCAATTTTAGTTTTGATTTTATATTATACCTAATATCTAATGAACTTATGTTGGTGACCTGCATTAATAAATAAATAAACTAACCACTTGGTATTTTTACTCACCCGGTGATACCAAACCCGTTGACCTGCATCTTCTCGTAGAACCAGGTCTTCTCAGATTCCGAGAAACATGCTCCGACGAAGACACCAGTTTTGGTGTCGCGCAGTTCCTTGGGGTTCAAGCCTGAAAACATTTCATAAGTTATGGTTTTGTCTTTTTTATTTTTTTTTCTTTTATTTTGGTGTATCCAAATTTTCGTAGGCAAAGAGTTGAGCCCACACAGACTTGTTTTATTTTTTTGTTTTGTGCTGGACTGCTATGGGCAAGGGATGCGAGGTCCACATTGTTTTTGTTTTGTGTATTAAGTGATTGTCTTGTATCTCCGTCCGTTGATGTCCAAGAATATCAGCGTTGCATCGGCAATCCATTTTTGCCGTTGCAACATTATGCTGAGGTGGGGCCTAGTTGACGATGTACCTTTTGTTTTATGTTTGTTGTGTATTTATTGTAATTGTTAATGTATGTCGTCAATAAATGTTTTTCTTTCTTTCTTCCATATATTTTAATTTACTTTTTCGTGGTTTCATCTGTGCTAATTTGAGGAAAATTTGGACATAATGCTGTCGCATTTTTGTTTTGACTGTTAGGCCCACTTGTACTGAAGTTCTTAAATCAAATAAGTTACATTTTTTTTTTAAGCATTTAACTGCTAGTTGTTTAATGAAACTATGGCGGACAGACAATGGCGGATGCACTGACCATTATGCTTCGGCTAATAAATATATTATATATATAACTAGCGGCCCGCCCTCGCTTCGGTGTAGAGTTGAACTGTAGACTACAATTTTTGTTCTCAGGCTTGTATTATACACAATGACATTCATCTATGATTCTTCTTATACCTGCATGCAAAGTCTCAGCCCGGTCGGTATAAAATTGGCAAAGTTTCATACAAACTTTCATTCCATATTTTATCCCCTTAGGGTAGACTTGATCAAAATCCTTTCTTTGCGGATGCTTACGTCATAACATCTACCTGCATGCCAAATTTCAGCCCGACCCGTCCAGTGGTTTAGGCTGTGTGTTGATAGATTACTATGTCAGTAAGCCAGTCACCTTTGAGTTTTATATAAATAAAAGATTTTTTTTAGATTCTAACATCTAGCAGTCAAATGCTTAATAAATAAAAATATAACTATAATTGCTTTTTCTTCTTTAAATTTTAATAGGACAAAATACACTCTTGGGGTGGATAATATTTGGAAAATGTTCACAATCTGCTCGGCCTAACAAAGTAATACTGCTACACGTACGAACAGATATTTATTGTTATAGATGCATATATGAATAATGTTTGCTTATGTACATACTTAAATTGAAAGTTACTGTATCTCCGTCTGCACGTCTGTTACATTATCATTCGGAAACCACTTAATTGATTTCTATGAACTTGGTATGGATAAAAGCGTTTTAGGAGAGGTGCGAAGGCAGAATATACACTCATCAGGAGTGTCTGGGGATCAAGTACGTGGCGTACGAACGTAATTGACTCCACCGGCGTTAACTTGAAATAATTTCCCACAACGTAGAAATACTGCATTAATGTTCTCTATATTTACAATAACAGTTAGGGTGTTGTTGAGTTATACCACAGAATAAGTAGTACAGAAAGTAATCTTCATACAAAGTGCGCTCGTTCGACGCACACATACACTCAGCTCACGGACACGATATCTCGGACCGCTTGGGACTACTTGAGACAGGCGTTTGTGAAATTTATGAGCAAAAACAGCGTAATATTTTTTTATGTGTCGGTGACATCTATCGCTACCTTCGCTGCGCTCACAACGTATGGTAGCCTACATCACGCAAGTGAAATTCGGAAGCTAACACGCCATATAGGCAATGCCCGACCAATATCACTCGGGCTGTGGCTCCCGAGCTATAATGTCACCCAGCTTGGTGGAAGACCCCACGACAACGGTTAACTAGAGCCGAGCCACATTTTCTCTTCCTCTTTCTCTTATAGCTAGTGAAAGAAATATGTATATGTACATACATGTATATATTGTACACATATATATATACATACAGATGGAGCTAAAGAAGTTTCACTTCAGTCGTGTGGTCATAAGCACACTCGCTTTTGATAATCTATTTGATAGGTGAAGAAAAAATTTTAGTTATCATCGTGTACTTAGAAACTTCAATCGTGGTCATGGCAACACCTTTAAAGTTTAACATTTTTGTAAATATCTTTTGTATGTCTTATCAAAAAGTAACGTGTAGGAAGTTAAAGTTAGACAAAAGTGGTGCAGATCAATCCTATACATAAATTTTATTATTTGCAAATTTTACTTACATTATAGTAAAAAAAGAGTTTTTTTTCTTTAGAACAACCGAGTGTTATAAATTACCTAAATAATTTATAAACAAAAAAACGTACGTACATAAAAATAAGCTAAACATTAATTGAAAATAAAAAAAAAAAACTGATTTCCACAACAGAGTTCCAAATTTAAAAAAAATGCAAAATGCTGAAGAATAAAAAAAAGGAATATCGTTCCGTTTTATAAAATTTATTTGTTTGAAATCGGAAGTGGCCACCTGAGCGCGAAAGTACGAAACGGCATTTCAAGTGGTCAGGTCAGAACGGGCCACTCAAACTCTTTGGTCATATATTTTTTAAATCACATTTTAATTCACAAAGAGTATTTACTTTTCCGGAAAAAAATGCCAACGGAATGCGATTTATAAACCAATTTGGTTTAAGAATGTCACAGAAATGATATTACGGGATAGAAAGGTGTGAATGAAATATTATAGTAACGCTTTTATTTTGCACACAAAAAATAAGTAAAAAAGTATTTAAGAGCCCTTTTGAACAAAAAAAATAATATAGTAAAAAAGTATTTAAGAGCCCGTTTAAACAAAAAAAATAGAAAGAACAAAATTGCGCCGCTGCCATACTGATCAGCGCGTAGGTAGATAGTAGGTAGTAGGTAGGTAGGGTAGTAAAAGTTACTACTTTTCAGTGAGGGTTATAAATGCCAGTGCTGTTTCACCAAAATTGCAGTTGATGGAGTGAGTTTTAACTATTGTTATTTTAGAAAAATGTAGACCCAAAAGATACCAAACATGGCGTCGTTATCAAGATGTGCCTATGGGAGGAACAAGAATGCCACCAAACCTTAAACACGGTAGGGTCAAGCAATTCAATTACCATCCAATGGATCAAGGGACACAGTGGAGCACGCGGAAACGACGCTGAGGATGAGCTGGCCCGGAAGGGATCCGATACGACCCCAACAGGTCCCGAACGAATCGCCCCGATACCGGTGAGCTGTCTCGTCAATAAAATCCGCGACCATACACCAGCAACAGTGCTGCTGGTTGTTGTCGCTCGACCTGGAGACGTGCAGGCAGACCAAGCTTGCTTTGCCACGGGTGAACGCTGCCCTCTCCGAAAACTCCTACAGCTAACCAAACCTACATTGCGCATGGTAACAGGTGCTATTACTGGACGTGCACATTTTAACAGACATCTTCTCAACTTAGGTGTCATGGACAGCCCCCTATGCAGAGGATGCATGGAGGCAGAAGAAACAGCTACTCACGTTCTGCTGGAATGCAACGGAGTGGCCGAATACCGGGCGAAATACCTCGGCTCACCGGGAAACCTTCAAGAGGCAGTCACCAATGTGAAGGCCCTGGGGGTGTTCCTGGCGGAGCTGGGCTGGCTGGAGTGATTCCGGCCATACACCCTCCTCACGCAAAATAGGCGCCATAAGGACGTCGAGTTGCGGAAACGCCCGTAGCAAGAAGAAGAAGAAGATGGGAGGAACATATTAATTAGGAATGTGTTTTTCTTTTTTTTATATTAAAAGGATGGCAAACAAAGATTATGGACGGCCTGATAGTAAGCGGTTGACATATAATGTTTCCTATCTCAATCTGCCGCAACGTTGTTTCTCCTTCCAAACCCACAAGGGATGTTATGACGTCATCGAAAAAGATGTTTGCAAGGCACATTTTCAGCAGAATAAAAATGTATGAAGTATCCTTGAATCATCATTATTTTAAAATTGGGTCCAGGGCGGCAAGGTCAAGATGTCTGGAGTAGTATATTATTTTGCTGACTCAGCTATTTTAGCGTCTGAACACCACTTACACGATTCAACATCAGCTGAGTTGGGTTTATGCCTAAGGCAGTTTTCTCACCGCCCGCTAGAAAGCAGCTAACTATCGGCTATACTATATTAAGAGGATGTAAATTACTAAATATAAAAAACTACAAAAATCATACATATTCCCATTGAACAACAATTGCTTTGTGTGTAGCGTAGATGTTGTTAAAGGTTCGCGCACATTACCAACAGTCGAGGAGGCCCAGAACGCACCGTTTTGCAAAATGGCGCCAAAACTTATTATGAGTCGTGTGGGTCCTCACCACAAGTCAACGATTGACTCAGCCGCTGGTCATTCAAAGCAACGGATCGTTCTTAATGTAAGTAGGTTATTTATGATGTGAACGTAAAAATAATAAGTAGTACCTATTTGAGTTCGTAAGAGCGACCATAGATGGATTACTCGAGCAGTTGTCACTATTGCTGTCCGTGTATTGCGGCTCTTAAAATGTTCAGAAACATTGTGTTCCATTTTTGAAATTATTAAACGTACGACATCGCTCTTATTTCTTTCTTGATAGAATTGTTGCACAAGAGGGATGAAGATAAAGTAGCTCTTTGGGAAAGTTATATATCTTTGTTAAAGATAAATAAATAAATCTTTTTTATCTTTCGCTCGCGAGCTACACAAGTCTAATGCATTGCAATGCGGTTCGGTGCGTTCACCCGACGTTGGAAAGTGTTGCAGGAGGATACTGTTAACCGTCGCGGTACGGTACATCGCACACAGTCGACCGATCAAATCAAATGTACGTACAAGAAAGAGAGTGCGTACAGTTGAATCAAGATCTTGACCACAAAATCTTATTAGCACTATAATTATACAGTACTTCCTACTACTAAAACCGCCATCATACGATGACATCCGCCCGAATTCATACATTTTGTGCTTGATTCAATTGGACTATGACGCCCGACCCCAGCATAGTTCAACAATTGTTCCCAGTTCAACCGATAACGGATTTCGTGTATCCGATGCCCTAGTATGCGCTCACC